CCAGGGCTAGCACAGCCCTCGCACCGCTCACCCGGGGGCGGGGCCGCCCATGTGCTGCACACCCTGGGCCAGCGCAGACCTCGCGCCGCGCACCCTTGAGTTGGACTGCCTAACCACCGTGCGCCCGGGGCTGGCCCCAATCACTCAGCGGGCACACAGAAATAGCCTGGCAGGCTCCATGGTGCCCACGGGCACCACGTTGGGGACCACTGTTTTAGAGCATTTGTCTGTTTTTGTGTCCATGTGTCTTTCTGACCCTCAGCTGGGAGATATCCACCACTCCCCCAGCTGCAGCATGCATGGATGGGCACTTCTCACCTGGCCCCAAGCTGCTGCAGTTACAGAGGGCTGGGTTTATCCTCTCTCCCTGGGGCAGTCTGCATACTGAACCTCTCTGCCACACCCCAGGGCAATGATTTAAATTAAGAAAAACAAAACTTATTTGAGTTAAGGACCCAAGCAACTCTGGGTACATTCCCTAATTTCAGATACAGAAATAGTACATGCACACAAATGGGAAAATCATATTCAGTAGATTACAACTTTTCCAATGATACCTTACAAGTAGTTTTTTGCATAAAGCATATGTTCATAAAGCATATGGATAGCCCCACGACACTGTGTAAGTGAGGCTTTCTAATTCTCAGCTTTCCTTTCCTCCTTTTCCTTGCTATACTATGCTTCCTGGCAGTTCCTGGTGGAAAAAAAGGGGAAGCAGAGAAATCAGTGAAAATATTGGAGAGGCAGATTTAGTTATATATAGAGAGGAATGGCCTCTGTTGGCTGTGAGAGAGTTTGACAGTGTTTTTTGTTTCTTATCCCAATAGCTCACAACAGAATAGGGTACCAGGAAGTGCTATGAGCAAATCAGATCTGTTAGCAAATATTCTTTCTTGATTCTCAGAATTTGACATAATTCGAAATTTTACAGGTTAATCCTTAATAATGTATTGCTTGGCATAGAAGTTATGTAGATGATTTATTTAATAAGAGAAGGCTTATAAAAAAATTTTTAAACACACAAAACCAAGATTGTTAGCAGACATTACATCACTTTCACTAAACTTGCTTCTTCAAGCAAAATGTGAGAGACAGAGGGAGAAAGAAAACTGCAAGCTGTATTTACCAAATCTATGTAACATTGATCTATTGTTTACCCACTTTGAGGCTAATTATGTTTTAAATATATCCAGGCATCCATGCCAAAAAATAAACCTCAAACAGGTGGATGAGGAAATATCATCTTTAGGCTTTTTTTATCCATGTCACTTCTACTACTTGGTTATGAGTGCAAAATAACCAGGACTCGTTTTTTCTCACTAGGGTTGAACTGGGCTAGGAAACATGCCCAGTGTTAGGGGGTTTGAAGATTATTGACTTAGTTACATCTGAAAATACGACTCATGAATAAGTCCAGGCAATAATATACAGCCGAATTCAAGGTACTATTTTATCATTTTACCATCTCATCAACTATCAGAATATAGGATGTCAGTTAGTGCAAGACAAAGAGGGGTTTCATTCTGAATAGTCATGAGGAACCTCAAAAGGTTCAGAGTGAAGTAGCCCATCCAATCCTCCCCAAAATGTGTGCTTATCAAAACTATTCTGAGCTTTTCATTATGCAGAATTGGACTGTGAATTTCAGGAGAGCAAAGCTCTGTGAGACTCCTATTGGTTCCTATCAGAATCTGGAAATGGGAGAGAAAAATATCCAAACAATCCAGAATATCAAAAAGATTCACTTTGTTTCTAAAAATGGGCAAAATTTTTGTATTTTCACAAAATCTGATGGTTGGCTTAGCTTTGTAGTGGAAGGTGACACATGGTATATAAGGGCGGGAAGGGGAAGTTTTGGGTGAGAATGGCAGGCCAGACCCCTTTTTGTTACAGAAGTGCCTTGGGATATTTAACATGTATATGCAGCTGAAAGGAAGCTAATTGTTTTCAAGATCTCTGATACTTTGACAGCCCACCTGCAAACTGCATGGAACTTCCTGTGTTTTTCTCAGCAGTCACAATGTTTCAAATCCAGTTCGTAGGCCCTTCGTCCCTCCTCTCCTGCATTTGAGTCATCTTATGCTAATGGTTTGTAGTATACCTCACTGAGATGAAGCTCTGAAGATACCTGTTACAGCATGTGACAATGAGCTGTTCTGGTTTGGGTTATAGAACTGTGGCACAGTGTAGTTCTGCTAGGCAAACTGTCAGTGAGGCTCCCTATAATTCAGACTGGACAGATTACACACAGGGTACCAGAGCCCTTACCACAACACAAACTAACACAAAAGTTACAAATTGGAAAATTCTAAGATATGTCTTTCCTGTGTACTGAGTGATATCTTGCTTGGGGAACCCAGAACTGTGAGCTACTGTCCTACCCCTCTCAAACTCAGCAAAGGTGTGTCTAGATTACAGGTTTTTTTTGTTTTTTTTTTAAGTGGCCTTTTTTCGAAAAAGCCTCTTTTGAAAGAGTCTCGTAGTCTAGATGTAGCCCAAGTGAGAGTTTTGCTTCTGCTTAACTGTGTGGTCAGTTCCTTGATATACAGGCATGTCTGCTTTGCTAGCAAACTTTTCAGGATTCTGCCATTCTAAACCTTACCTTACAGAGATGTTCCTCTCACTGGATGCTCATGGATGTTCAGTTCACTACCTCCACAGAAACAGAATGCACACCAACCTGTCAGTTTAGCTGAAGATTCACACATAGCATTCGTAGATTTTTTTTGTAATAAAACAAGAATAATTTTATTAATAAAGAACAAAAATCTACATGATCATGAGAGAATATATAATCATGGTTATAAGTAAAAACAAAATATGTTTTCTATTGACTAAAACCAAATTTATCTTTGTCTAAGTTGGTTTCTCGCCTATAGTCAATTTCTAAGTACTCTTGCCTTCTGGGCCAAGAGGATGCAGCTTGCATAGGCTACTGAATCCCCTTGATGGATAACAAAAATGGCTTTTTGCTTGTCTTTATATTCATCAACGTTTCTATACACTGTTTCGAGGACCTGGAAGACTTCATATCATGTCTGTTGTGATTATAAGTGGTCTGCTCCCCTACTAATTAGCTTGATTGAAGGTCTCAGAGGGGTAGCTGTGTTAGTCCATAACTTACAAAAACTTAAAAGACGACGAGTGATCCTGTAGCACCTTAGAGACTAACATAAAAATATATATGGTGGTATGAACTTTTATGGGTACAACCCACTTCTTCTGATGGTGTTCATTCATCTGAAGAAGTGGGTTGTACCCATGAAAGTACATGATTCCATGTATAATTTTGTTAGTCTCTAAAGTGCTACAGGATCATTCGCCTTTTTAGTTTTGTTAGCTTGAGGTCTTTATTTACTTTATATGTAAATGTGCAATACCCTCTCCCTATTATCAAGCTGATTAGACAAATAAATTCCCATTCCTTTATCTAGGATAGGCTGGGCTTATATGCTGCCTACCAAACACATTTTAAGAATGTTTCTAGGACACATTTACAACTTTTTGTAAACACCCTATACACACACCACATGATGATTTTGGGGACCAGTACTTGTTTGTACGTGACAGCAGCATGTTGGGGCAGTGACTCTCTCAAGCCTGATGTGAGTTGCAGAATGTTGCACTAACTGGTATTGAGGGGCTCCTGGTATCACTGGCTGACAGTTAAAATGGAACAAATTTCTAATACATAGGTGGACCGCCCTAGTCTGGAACCCTTGGGACCTGAGGGGTCCCTGTATGAAGGAGTTTGCCAGACCAGTGGTAGTCAATGCCAGCCTCTCTTCAGCCAGCCTCTGAACTTGTTTGGAGGGCACCAGGCTTCCTTCCTGGCCACCAGCCCTGGCTTCCAAGTTCCTCTCCTGGTTGCTGACCCCATTTTTGGCCTGTGCCACTGGCCCTGCTTGTGCCCCTGCCCCAGGCCCCAGCCAGGCTCCTGGCTGCCAGCCCTCCTGCCATTGTCCCAACTGCACTCCCAGTATTGCTGCACTCCCTGCTCCACTCCAGATGCCAACTGCTGGTCTGGCTCTGCCCCTGGCCCCGGCCAACCCTTCTGCCACTGGCCCCTCTGCCATGAGACTACCAGCCGGCCCCTACTCTTAACTGCTAGGGCGCTTAGGTCCAGCAACATCCATGGTCCTGCCAGAGAGGTTCAACTGTAGTTGGCTTTATACTTTTGAGGCTGTTCTAAAATGGAATAGAATTTATTTTGAATTTGCTCCTAGTTTAATCACCTTCTTTAACTGCTTGGTGATCTTCTTTCTGTCTGCAGTATGATGTGAAGAACCATCGAACCTTTCTCAAACGCACAAAATATGATGACTTACACCTGGAAGATTTGTTTGTAGGCAACAAAATTACTGTCTTTTCACGTCATCTTTCCTTAGTAGACTATGGGGATCAATACACAGCCCGCAAGTTGGGTAGCCACAAAGAAAGGTAAGAGGATGTGATCTCTGAAATTCCTTTGGTATTTCCTATTCACATATCTGTTTGTGCAAGTGAGTTTGTTAAGCTAAGTTTCTTTCTCAGGAGAGACCAGAGAGGGTTTCTGCAGATGAGGAGAGGATATATCTGCTCATTTACATCTTAGATGAGGGGATTTGATGGTGTGATCTCTGGAAGCAAGATAGAGTAGTTTATACCCCGTCATCAAATCTATGATCTTTTTTGTTTGTTGTTGCACCCTCCACATTACACCTCCCCCAAGATGTAAACTGCTTCTCACTCCAATTCTGGAGCCTAATTCAGTTTTGTTAGAGCTGTGTAACCCTACCATTGTTCACTAATGTTAATTTTATTGGGGTTGAATGGGTGTAGCTTAGGGCAGAATTTCAACTTTGATATGTGCTAGGCTTAAAGGGAATGAATCTTGCAAAAATTGACTGTGTCTTGCAGGGACAAAACATAGGCCTTATGATCCAATGGCATTTCTTTACCAGGTGATATGTTTTATACATCAGCTTGTAGTAGCAGTTAACAACAATAAAAAGAGGGAGATACTTGTGTCCTTCCTCCACTGCTCTTCCCGCAGTAAAGGAAATCCTAAAACATTTCAGAGAAAAATTCCCCAGCTGGGTTGTAGTGTGGCCAAGAAAACTTCTAGGGACAGGCACTCAGCTGATGAAAATTGGAGCTATGCTAATTACACTAGATCAGGCTCATAAGCTCATTCCAACTGAGGCTGCATGATATATTTGCTTTGGAGAATATGCCTGGAAAAAGTTAATGGATCAAATTCTGCTCTTTGTTGTGCTGTGCTGGATTGACTTCAGTGGAGTTACTCTCTGAATGTGCATCAGTATCAGAGATCAGATTTTAGCTCAATATCTTTAAGAAAAACACTCAGTGTCCTTTCTAGATTGCTGTTCTTAACACCAGTAAGCTCGCTTCTCCTGACTCCTTAGCTCCAAACCAGCCTGGTTTTTGTGTGTTGTTATTTTAAAACTTAAATTTTAATCAAAACAACACTGATAAGGTTGCAAAGTTGAACATTTACAATTCCCTCACCCCCTAAAAATATTGCCCCTGAGATGACTATAGGAGCAGCCTTCCAAAATAATGTCTCCAGTCATATTGCCTACTGGTTGGAACTGGAGTAGAGGGAGAGAAGGTATGAAAGAGGGAGACTGTGTTTCAGGGCTCTTGGATTACATTTAGAGTCCTGTCAACTTCCTTTTTTGTTTTATTTTTCAGGAAGTTTGTTATTTTGTTTTATCAATTTTATCCGCTCTGGGGGTGGGAAGATCCTTCCCCGGTGCAGGGAGAAAGCTCTGGTCGGGGAGGTCCTCCCATTGGTGTGGGAATCCCTCCCCCCCACCCCCCCACATTCACTCTGTAGAGACAGCTGTTTTCCTATAGGGCTGGATGCCCAGGTGCAGGTGTGCGACCTGGCACATGGGGTCATAGCTTTATTCAGGCATATCCAGTTATCTCTCTATCATCATGATGGAGGGGTGGCTGGGCCAGAGCTAAGTGAGTGGCACTTCATTTAATTTCATATTGCTTTTGGTTTTATTTTTTGTTTGTTTTGCATTTGCAAAAAAATTAGCTCTAGTTATGTTCTTGATTCTGTGAGTCAACTCTGTGTGCTCTTGGGCAAGTCACTTAGGCCTGGCCTACATATAGTTTTCATGCCAGTATAACCTTTTTGGTTAGAGGTGTAAATATTTACTGATGTACTTTACCTGAATAAGCCTTAGTGTGAACGCAATAGCAGCAAAGTAAAGGTGCCTTACATGGGATTTGTTTATTCCCTTTCTCATTTGGGAATAGCTACACTGGCATACAATACCTTTAGACCGGTGTGCATGCATTTTATATTGAGAGGAATGCGTGGCTTTATATTCTCATTTTAAAACAGTACAAATTGTGTGTCTGGATAAGCCCTTGATCTCTCATTTTCTCCATCTGTATTATGGTGTTAATAATACTCACCATGCCCATCTTTAGCCACAGAAGAGACAGTGCTTAATTTATTCAGAATGATTAAATGATGGCCATTGATATATATCTTATTCAATATCAAAGGGATCAGGAAAATCCTGTTTCCTAGAAGAAATTGGCTTTCAATAGTTAAAGAAGATTATGTTGCTTGGGGGGGAAGTAACTGCTTATGGGGAATTGCCTATTAGGGACTATCCTTAATGCAGTGACTGAAGGGGAAAGAGGAGTTTTGCAAGAGAGGATGAAATGAGCATCACCAAAGATAAAGAACGTGCAGCTGGGCAATTTTGCTGTAGCTGCACATGGCAGAATAATCTCCTCCTTGTTCTGTAATAGTTCTACATGATCCATACAGCTAGTAGATGGAAATAATTAGTCTCTGGTTTGTTAAACTTTACATGCTCTTTATTTTCTAGAGCAGGGGTCTCCAAACTTTTCAGCCCGAGGGCCGCATTAACTATCAAACAGCAGTTCGGGGGCCGACTACACACTTGAGGTCCAAATAAAAAACAATCAAAACATGGATGTTGTTTTTAATTATTTATTTAATATTATTTTATTCAGTTATTATTTAATAACACATTGATACACTACACATGAACACCCTAGATCAGGGGTCTCCAAACTTTTCAGCCCGAGGGCCGCATTAACTATCAAACAGCAGTTCGGGGGCCGACTACACACTTGAGGTCCAAATCAAAAACAATCAAAACATGGATGTTGTTTTTAATTATTTATTTAATATTATTTTATTCAGTTATTATTTAATAACACATTCATACACTACACATGAACATCTGTATTAGTGTGAATGGTGAAATTGTTTCCTGGATGCCAAAATAGACATTTCTGGCTTTAGATTTGTTGTCCCTAACATCAACAGTGACCTGAGATTATCATCGGACAAGTTTGTTCTCAAATTGTTCTTCACGTATTTCATTCTTGAAAATGTTTGTTCACACAGGTATGTTGTTCCAAAGATTGAAAGGTACCTTGATGCAAAAGTTTTGACATTAGGAAAGTCTTCCTTGGGCAAAAACTGGTAAAAACCCACCAGTCCTATTTTGAACTTGTCCCTAAGGAGGTCATTTGCTTGCAACTCAATGACTTCCAGCTGCAGTTCATCTGGGAAACTGGCCACATCTGCTTCAAATGGGTTTTGAAACAATCTCACTTCTTCTGCCTTTGAATCCAAAAAGGTCTCCATGGGCCGGATGAGAGGGCCTTGCGGGCCTCATCCGGCCCCCGGGCCGTAGTTTGGAGATCCCTGTTCTAGAGAAGCATGTGCAAAATGCTCAATGAGTACTCCAGGCTAGACAGTATCTGCACATCAAGCATCTTATACTTTCTGAAATTGGGCCCTTTGTTTTTGTCAGACCAATTTTTATGTGGTCCCTTTTCTGATTTATAATTGCACTTTGTCCATACAAGGAAAGTTATAACTCTCAACTTAAAATCTATTTAGTTTCAAGTAATGACTTTAAAGTAATTTCAAGTTCTACACTTACCTCTGAGTCTCCCTGGTACTTTGTTTATAGGCTTTAAAATCATGCTTGTCTGTTTAAATGCTCCACTCCACACACTCTTGCTATCCTAAAGACCCACAGAAACAAGAAGACTAAGGAACTTAAGTTAACACACAATGCTGTCCAATGAATAAAGTAAATACAATAGATCAAACAGAGAATTTCCCTCTTTAATCTTTCACTTATAGAGATGTAAGGATTGCACTTATAACACTAATTTACATTTTTCAGATCTGTATTTTTAAGAGGACTATGTGCCTTTAATGTATTCAGTTACTATAACCGTATTGAAAAATTATTAGAATGCTCATGGCGAACCAAAAATAGCAGAATATTTTATTGATTTGTCAAGTCACTAACATGCTTCTAGTCATTTATCATATTTCCTCCCCTCCCCAACGTAAGAGTTATTTCTTGTAATAGTCCTTCTACTAAAATTAAATAAACCACATAGCCATAGACATATTTTATGCAGCAGATACCCTTCTTATGATCACCAGCTATACCTCTCTGGTCTGGGACTCTCTGATCCAGCAACAACCATGGATGTTGCTGGACCAGAGAGCCCCAGCCACAGAGGTTGCCAGCAGTTGGGAACTCTACTGATGTGGCAGAAGGGAGCCCACAGGGCCAGTGGCCTGGAGGCAGGGAGCCTGGTCAATGGGCCAAGGTTGTGTGTCAGCCGATGGTCAGGGCAGTGCTTGGTGTGTGTTATACACCCGAGTCTTCAACTGCTAGAACTCAAGGTTCCTTTGCTGACGGGCAACCCAAAAGTTTTACGTCTGTGTCTTTGGCTGCTAGGACCGGGGTCCCCTTGCAGCGGGCAGCCAACAGGCTGACAGATGCCCCAAAAGTTTGCAGGAGAGCTTATTACACTTGAGACTTTAACTGCTAGGGCACACAGTCCCTTTCGCAGCGGGCAGCCAAGGGAAGGCTGACAGGCGCCCCATGGATCTGTACTCTGGAGGCAACACGATCCAAATGCCCAGCTTTGCCTGTGTCTGCTCCCTATGACTGGCTGGAGTTCTTTTAAATTGTGCTTGGTTTTGTTACAGCAACTGAAGGAGTCAGGCTAAAGCTTAAACAGTGACCGGTTTATTAAAGAAGCTTATAAATCATATGGTTACAATGGCTATTGCTTTATTTCTTAACTGCTAGCAAATATAGATCTTAAAAATGGTAGGTCCCAGACCCGTTTCATGCCAGGACTGAGCCGGGCTACTGGCCAGCCTGCTAAAGAATTTACTGCCAAGGCTGGGGGAGGGAAATGCATGTAGTCTATAGCATTAACCTACAAGCTTTTGGTTAATCGATTACACTATTATATCCTTAGTTCTACTCCCTAATGCACTAGTGTGGACTGACATGTCAGAACCCTAAAATACATTTGTGATGGGTTGGATCACAGATCTCCCCTTGTGACTGTCACCCAAAGTACTGCTCATACCACTGAGCACGTCTGCCTGT